GGGGATTTGCCCAGGATGAACTGCCACTGCCCCTTGCTGCCCTGGTTGCAAGCCTTGTGGGGTCCTTTAGAGTTTAGGAGATGGTGCCTATGGGGAAAGAACGGGGCGGGGCGGGGGTGCTGTGGGGCACGGGCATGCTCCTCGGAGGGAGAGCATGCTCTGTGCTGGACCTTGGTTTTGGGGGGTTTTAAAGGCTGGGCATTTAGACTGACAGGTGTGGCTCAGTAGTTAGAGCGTTGGTCAAGGGCAGGTACCTGGGTTGCAGGATAGATCTGGCCCAGATGTTTCTCTCTCTGTCCCCTCCCCCCACTAAAAAAAAGGCTAGGCGTTAAGGGGAAGTCTTAGGAGAGGATCTCAATAGAATATTCATCATCTTTATGCTGATATACCAAAATGAGGTTTATTATCTTCATCTGTCATTGGGTGTAGTTAGCAAGTGGCACTTACTGGTTTCTGCTGTCTCCCTGAGTAGCCTGATTGTTTACCCTGGTTGGGGAGAAGTGCAAACCATTTACTCTTAGGGAAAATAGGATTTAATAGATGGCTGAAAACTGCAGTTTAGCTCTCTGTTTCCCTATTCTACTTATCCTGGCTTATTAGCCTTTTTCAACTCTACTCTTTATATTTTTAATCCTCAATCCAGGATCATTTGCCTGCTCCCCCATTATTCCAATGAACTGTGGCAGAGATCACCAGTGCCATCTTTACTGCCCAGTCCTGTTACCTCTTTTCAGTTCTTTGATACTTTGTGATTTGCCTTCCTTCATGAAACTTTTCTCATTGAAGCTGCTTTCTTCTGATTGTCTTCCTGTGCCCTATTAAGGCCTTCTATAGTTTCATTTATTCTCCCTCTTACATATTGGATATTCTCCCCCTTCCTCCTCAGGCACACATAATTGTACACTTGTATAGTTATAATTTCTTCCTTTCAGTAATCTCATTTAATTCATTAAATTCAGCTACAACCTACAAATTTATGATGCCTCTTAAATCTGTATCTATCTTGTCTAATTCTTAAGTTTTAGAGAGCGCCATGCCTTTGCAGCCATAGTCTCAGGTCTCTCCCCCAAAAAGAGTTTCACTAGGACCTCTGAATATGTGCCCCATTTTTTAGTGAGTCCAAAGTTAGTAAGATCTATGAGGTTGTCAGAATACTAGCTTTAGAACTTCAAAATTGAGAAACAAGAAAGGCTTAGCCCTAAGGCTGAACTATAAAAGTTTGGTATCTAGGCTCTTCCTGTTGCCAGAGGGCTAGCTTTCACTGAACTCTTTAAAGCTAGAGGCATTAGCATACCTGAGATATAGCCACACCCCAACACTAAGACCTGCCCTGGCCCATCACTCCCACATCTTGGCTACCTGGGCTTAGATGAAAGCTTGCTTTCTGATTTAAACTTGTCTATTTTTGAAAAGTTCTTCCTGGGAGCAGGAGTGGAATAGAGGGGGCCAATGGGGGGAAAAGGGGACATCTGTATACTTAACAACAATAAAGATAAATTAAAAAATAAAAAGTAAATGGAAGATGTATCCAATAAAAAAAAATTCTTTCCCTCCCTTGAATAGTAATTACAATTATCTCCTGCCACTGGACAAATTTAAAAATCCAGCCCACAAAAACTACCCATCCTGACCTAGTCAAAAGTCAAACTTCACTTGTTATTTTGATCCCCCAAAAGCTATTTCCTGTACCTTTCTCAAAGTTTTTCTGTTCATACAGACATAATATAGCTTAAAATATGTATTATTCCCAACTGAATTGGAGAGGCTTTATATCTACAGCCTCAGTCACTTTGAAAATATTTTTCTGCCACACCCTTCACCCCCACTTCCACTTTTCCTCTTCCCCTGGCACTTACCCATTCTTTCTATAAAAATCAGAGCAAAACAGGACAACAGCCTCCCTCACTGGAGTTCAGGCGGAGAAAGCATTTTTCCTGAGGACCAACGGTAGCCCCACTAAAGCAATGAGCTGAGTCAGCACATGCTCAGTTCCTTCTTTTAAAACCACCAATCATATATAACTCCTCCTCCCAGACAGTGACCTAGGGAGTGAAAGTCACCAAGCAATTACTGTTTTCTTCTTAGTCCTTTTGAAAAGTCAAAAGTTCCTCTCCCCTTCTTCAGACTGGAGTTTCTAGAGGCCCACCAAAAATTTCTAGGGGTGCTACTAAGACAATTTCTACAATTTCAACTTCCATTTGTATTCTTTCCTGAAGTCTATCTGCCTGAAAAAGTATCAGTTTTCTACAGATTCTCCTGAACTGTTTTCCTTTTCAGGAATAAAAGTCTTATCTCTACCCCCAAAGAGAATGTAATTATGGTGCATTGCCCTAGGGTGTAAAAACTTAAAAGCTGTGCAAAACCTTTCGGACTCCTAACTGGGATAATTTGAAAAGGCAGGGTGAGCCCTAGCTGCTTTGGCTCAGTGGATAGAATGTTGGCCTGTAGACTGAAGGGTCCCAGGTTCAATTCCGATTAAGGGCACATACCTGGGTGTAGGAGGTGGGCAGGAGGCAGCTGGTCATTGATTCTCTCTCATTATTGATGTTTCTAACTCTCTCTCCCATCTCCCTTCCTCTCTGAAATAAGTTTTTTAAAAAATTAAAAGAAAAAGAAAAGGCAGGATGAGTATCTAGCAAAAGACTTAAAGAATGAAGTTAGACATTTTCTGATGAAAAATAATGTTGATTTGGCTTATGAACTTGTCTTTGAGCTCTGGTTTCATTAGTTAGGACATTGGGATATTTTCCATAAACTGAGTATCATTGTTTTGACATCTAATATTTAAAATATAAAATATACAGAATGCTAGGTTATGGGCAGGGAGTACCTTTTTTTTAGTTTGAAAACATCTGTAAGAGTATATACAAACAAAGGAGTTTGAAGGTTTTTCCCACTTTATGAACCAAGGAGAAAAATGGAATAGTTAAAATAGCTTATTAAGAGATATTATTGGACTTTGAAACTTATGCTTAACTTTTTTTACTTATGAAAGTAATATGTACTCATTTTGACAAATAGAAACAACATACAGATATATAAAGTAAAATTAAAAGTCGCCATCTTCCAGCTACCCCTCTCCAGTCCCACTCTCTAGAGATAGTCACTAGTAAGCCTTTGATATTTATCCTTAGTGGGGTTGTTTTTTGTACTTCTACAAATAGACTCACATGGGGGTGGCCTTCCCCTATAAATGGGAGAATTTGTCTGCACTGTGCCTTTTTTTCCTCTCCTAACAAATGTGAATTGTGAGCATTTCCCCAAGTATATATTTAGATACTTTTCATGGCTGCCTAATATTCGGTGAAGGTGTGTTGTTAATTTGTCCCCACCATTTGATGGATTTACCTTTTTTTTTTTTACTGCCATTATAATTAATTTTACGGTGGACATTATTGAACCTATATCTTTTCACCAGAGACAGTCATTTTATGAAGAATAAATTCTTAGGATAAGCAGTTTGTAATTTTCATAGGAGGTTTCCAAATTACGTTTCCTAAAATGTAAATATATATACCCATAGCAGTATAGGAAACAACTTATTTTCCAAAGCTTATGCTGATATATGATATCTTTTTTATTCTTGCCAAATTAATGAACAACACATGCTATGGGTATATGTTTAGCGATTAGGAAGCTACATATTTCTTTATCATTCACCCATTTTAAAATTAGATTTTTATCATTAATTTCATTTTGATCCTTTGAAAATATTTTTCTATGAGTATATTGTAGGATAGGAAGAAGCTAAGAAAATTCCAGGACAAGCAGAATAGGGAAACTAAAATCCTATCTTCCCTAAACCAAGGATTCTTACCAGTAAAAGGTTTTTACTTCTTCCCAACCCAGAGGGTAAATAGCTTAAATCACAGAACTCAGGAGACAAAAGAGAAATTAGTGTCATTTGCCAACCACACCCAAGGACAGACAAATTAAGAGAATAAATCTCACTTTTTGGTTCATCAGCATAAAGTTGATGAATATCCTCCCTTAAGACCTCCCCTAAATGCCAGCTTTTAAAACCAATGGAAAGGAAGACCCCAATAAGCTTTCCCTCTAGTGAGTATGCCCATGCCATTCCCGTGCCCCTCTTTCCCTCCCACAGGCTCCTATCTCCTAAATTCCAAGGAACCTCAGGAGACTGAACCAGGGAAGCAATTGGCAGTGGCAGCTCTTCCCAGGCTAACCCCATGAACCTGTCTCCAAGGCTCTCTTTTCTCTGACTTCCCTGTAAGCCAAAGCGACCCAGCCTAGGTTCTTCTGTTGCTTCTTCTATGCCCTTCCTTATTTCACTGTCCTGAGTGTGTTTTGCTGAAGACAATAAATTCTTGCTTGCTTTTCTACACTTTGACTCGTGATTGAAATCTTTCCTTCAAGAAGATAAGAACCCAGGTCTTGTCAATTCCCCGGTAACAATATCTTTTTTATTTTTGCCAAATTAACAAATAATACATGGTATCTTGCTATTTTTATTCTTTTTTTAAATCCTCACTTGAGGATATTTTCCCATTGATTTTTAGAAAGTACGGAAGGGAGGGAGGAGGGGGAGAGAGAGAGAGAGAGAGAGAGAGAGAGAGAAACATAAATCGGAAAGAGACATCGATTGGCCACCTCCCACACGTGCATAACCTGGGCCATGGAGCAAACCTGCAACTGAGGTCTACGTGCCCTTGGCTGGGAATTGAGCCTAAGAGACCAGTTGGTGTGCAGGCTCTAACCACTGAGAACACAGTCCGGGGCACCCATTTTAAAATTAGATTTTTATCATTAATTTGATCTTGAGTCTTTAAAAATACTTTCTCTTTACAGTGATTAGAGTATGATCTCAATCAAATAATGAATTAAGCTATATGAATTTTACAGTGATTAGAGTATGATCTCAATCAAATAATGAATTAAGCTATATGAATTTTATGATATCCCAGTTTTCATGATAACATAGACCAATTTTTTTCCATGGTAAATTCCAGTGTTGTTCTGTTTTATTGATCCTTTAACAGTTAAGAGAAGAAAGCCGGAGGCTGGCTTTGGCTGCCAAAAGAGAAAAGCGAAAGGAGAAGAGAAGAAAGAAAAAGGAAGAACAAAGAAGAAAACTAGAAGAAATTGAAGCAAAAAATAAAGAGAACTTTGAACTCCAAGCTGCTCAAGAAAAAGAAAAGCATAAAGTTGAAGGTATTTTTCTCTACAAACCATCTTATTTGTTTCATATAATACATTGTATTGAAAATTATATTTTTACAATATCAGTAACTTAGGTAAAATTAGATTTCTAAATTAATAAGCCCTTAAAGTATTTATGTGCTATTTTTATTTATAGACTTCTCTCTAGCTTTTTTTATTATGAAGATAAATTAAAATGATAAAACACCTGAATACACTTTACCTAGGTTTTAATAAAAGTAAGCATTTTACCCATTTACTTCAATTTCTTTTCCTCTAAATATGCATACATATTTTTTCTAAGCTATCTGAAAGTAAATTGCAGACATTATGACATTGTACCTATAAAACTTCAACATACACCTGACATTTGCTTACATAATCGTACTACCTAAAAAAAATTAACAGTAATTTGGTAATATTATCTATAATCCAGACCATATTCAGACTTTTCTCAAATGAGGAAATTATTTTTAAAGAGGTTCTAGTTAAAGATTATTTGAGATGATATTCTGAAGAAGAACCATCACTGCTAAATTACCAAATATGTATGCAGTGTGTGTGTGTGTGTGTGTGTGTGTGTGTGTGTGTGTATTCTACCTCCTCTAGCCTTTTAATTTGAAAAAAATTTGAACTAAAGAAATGTTTAAGGATTAGTATGTTGAACACCTGAATATCACCTAGATTGTTATAACGTTTTGGTACATTTGTTTATCTTTTTTCCTCTTTTTTTGAACAGTTTGCATGTAAGATGTATGTATCATGCGAAATCGCCCCTAAAGACTTGATTATGTATTTCCCAGAAAAACGACATATTTTACATAACCACAATAACATTATAACATCCAAGAAATTTAATTATATAAAACATTCAATATACAGTATATACTCACATTTATAAAATTGTCCCCCAAATAATTCTTACACTTGCCTATTATGCATTGTTTAGGACTTAGAGACATAGAATAGATCAGTCATATTTATCTCCTTATGATGAATGCTGGAATGCCTGATGACTTTATGTCTAATAGAAGCAAATAACTCCTGGTTTTCTTTCTTCAAGTGCTTAAAGATAAATATATTCTAAGAATTCTTAGAATTTGCTAATTCATTATTGGTACTTTTACAGATGAGCCTGAAGTCTTGACAGAGCCTCCAAGTGCCACAACCACTACTACTATAGGTATATCTGCAACCTGGACAACTTTGGCAGGTTCCCATGGTAAAAGAAATAATACCATAACTACAACCAGTTCAAAGAGGAAAAACAGGAAAAATAAAATGACTCCAGAAAACGTTCAAATTATATTTGATGATCCACTACCAATCTCATACAGTCAGCCAGAGAAGGTGAACGGAGGAGAGTCAAAAAGTAGCAGTACCAGCGAGAGTGGGGACAGTGATAACATGAGGATTTCCAGCTGCAGTGATGAAAGTAGTAACAGCAATAGCAGCCGAAAGAGTGACAATCATTCACCTGCTGTGGTTACTACCACTGTGACCAACAAGAAACAGCCATCAGTTCTGGTTACATTTCCAAAGGAGGAGAGAAAATCTGTTTCTGGCAAGGCTTCAATAAAGTTAGTTCCAATTTTTATTTTTATAATTTATAGTATCATGAAATGCTTGTTGCTAAATTTTTTTTATAAATCCAGTAAAGAACAGCAGAACAAGAATTTGCCTTTGTTTTGACAACACAATTTCATTTGATTTGAAAAATATGCTACATTTTAGATTTTATATTAATGAGAGATAAAATTATTTTTACAATGTAATTTATTCATTTTGTTAAACTTAGCCCATAAAAAGTATTGATTATGGGTACTCAGTGATTATTATTGTGATTAAACTCCTCTAAATTTTAACTCTAGATAGCATCTTTTTTGTTGTTAATCCTCACTGGAGGATATTTTTCCATTGATTTTTAGAGAAAGTGAAAGGTTGGGGGTGGAGAGAGTGAAAAACCACCTCCAGCATGCACATGCCCCAACTGGGGGAAAAGGGCAAACTCTAAATGGAAGTATATACCTTTGACCGGGAATCGAACCAACAACCCTTAGGTGCTCAGGCTGATGCTCTAACCACTTACCACACTGACCAGAGCTATTTTTTCCTTTTTTTTTGCTCAGTCCCTACCCCACCAACATCTGTCAGCCTGCTCTCTATGAGTCTCTCTCTGTTTTGCCTATAAGTTCATTTTGTTCATTAGATTCCACATATGAGTGAAATTATATTCTACTTGTCTGTCTCTGACTGGCTTATTTCACACAGTGGTCAGCAAACTGGCTTGCGAGCCACATGTGGCTCTTTGGCCCCTTGAGTGTGGCTCTTCCACAAAATACCGACTTCTGCACATGGGCCACGAAGTTTCAGTCGCACTGTACGTGCGCGCCCGCACGTGGTATTTTGTGGAAGAGCCACACTCAAGGGGCCAAAGAGCCGCATGTGGCTCGCGAGCCGTGGTTTGCCGGCCACTGATAATGCTTTCCAGGTTCATCTTTGCTGTTGCCAAGTGTAAGGTTAGCTTTTTATGGCCAAGTAGTAGTCCATTGTGTAAATATACCATAGTTGTTTTTTTATCCACTCATTTACTGATGAACACTTGGGCTGCTTCCAACTCTTGGCTATTGTAAATAATGCTGCAGTGAGCATAGGTGTGCATATATTTTTTGAATTAGTGTTTCAGGTTTCTTTGTATAAATTCCCAGATGTGGAATCGCTGGGTATTAAGGCAGTTTGTTTTTTTTAATTTTTTTACATAACTCCATACAGCTTTTCACAGTGGCTGCACCAATCTGCATTCCCACTAACAGTACACGAAGGTTCCCTTTTTTTCACATTCTGGCCAACACTTGTTTGTTGGTTTATTGATGACAGCCATTCTGACAGGGGTAAGGTGCTATCTCCTTATGGTTTTAATTTGCATTTCTCTGATGATTAATGACCTTGAGCATCTTTTCATGGGTCTATTTGCCTTCTGTATATCCCTTTGGAGAAGTGTCTGTTCAAATCTTTTGCCCATTATTTAATTGGATTGTTTTTTATGTGGCCAGCTGTATAAATTCTTTATAAATTTTGGGCTATTAACCCATTATCAGATATATCGACAAATATGTTCTCCCATTCAGTGGGTTGTCTTCTCAGTTTGTTGAAGGTTTCCTTGCTATGTAAAAACTTTTTAATATGTTGTAGTCCCCTTTGTTTAAATTTTTTCTTTTGTTTTTCCTTACCCTAGGACCGTGGTCGGCAAACTGCAGCTCTTTGGCCCCTTGAGTGGGGCTCTTCCTAAGCCTTATGAGTACCCTAATTAAGTTAATAACAGTGTACCTACCTATATAGTTTAAGTTTAAAAAATTTGGCTCTCAAAAGAAATTTCAGTCGTTATACTGTTGATATTTGGCTCTGTTGACTAATAAGTTTGCCGACCACTGCCCTAGGAGATATATAAGAAAAAATGTTGTTATGAGAAATGTCCAAGATTTTACTGCCTATGTTTTCTTCTAGGATTTTTATGGTTTCAAGTCTAACATTTATCTTAAAACCATTTTGAGTTTATTCTTGTGTATGGTGTAAGAAGGTGGTCTAGTTTCATTTTTTTCATGTATCTGTCCAATATTTCCAGTACCATTTATTGAACTGATTATCTTTACCCCACTGTATATTTTTGCCTCCTTTCTTAAATATCGACCATAGCCCTGGCTGGTGTGTCTCAGTGGTTAGAATATCGGCCCGCGCACCAAGGGGTCTCTGGTTCGATTCCTGGTCAAGGGCACATACCTGGGTTGCAGGTTCGATTCCTGCTCTGGTATGGGTACATGGGGGAATCAACCAATCTATGTATGGAAGTCTCTCTCTATCTTTCTCTAATTCTCCCACTCTACTCCATCCCTGCCCCTCCCTTCCACTCTCTAAAATTCAATGTAAAAATATCTTCAGGTGAGATTAACAAAACAAAAAGCATTCATTGATTGTAAAGATGTGGGTTTATTCTGGACTCTATATTCTGTTCCATTAATATATGTGTCTGTTTTTATGCCAGTACCATGCTATTTTGATTACTATGTCCTTGTACTATAGTTTGATATTAAGTAGCATGATTCCTCCAACTTCGTTGTTCTTTCTCAAGGTTGCTGTTGCTGTTTGGAGTCTTTTGTGGTTCCATATAAATTTTTGGAATATTTATTCTAGTACTGTGAAATATGCCATTGGTATTTTGATAGGAATTGAGTTGAATCTATAGATGATTTTGGATAGTATGGACATTTTAGTGATGTTAATTCTTTTAATCCATGAACATGATATATGCTTCTACTTGTTTGTTTGTATCTTCTTCAGTTTCTTTCTTGAGTGTCTTATAGTTTTCTGAGTACAAGACTTATATCCTTGGTTAAATTTATTTCTAGGTATTTTAGTCTTTTTGAAGCAATTGTGAATGGGAATGTTTTCTTAGTTTCCCTTTCTGATAGTTCATTATTGATGTATAAATATGTGCCACTGATTTCTGTATATTTATTTTGTATCTTGGTGGAATCTTTAGGTTCTATATACACAGTATCATGTCATCTGCAAATAATGACAATTTTAATATTTTCCAATTTGGATTCCTTTTATTTCTTCTTCTTGTCTGATTGTTGTGGATAGGATTTCTAGTACTATGTTGAATAAGAATGGTGAAAGCAGGCATCCCTGTCTTATTCCTGATCTTAAGGGAAACACTTCTAGTTTTTGTCCATTGAGTATGATGTTGGCTGTGGGTTTGTCATATATGACCTTTATTGTGCTATGTTCCCTCTATTCCCACTTTGCTGAGAGATTTTATCATAAATGGTTGCTGGATTTTATCAAATGCTTTTTCTGTGTCTGTTGATATGATCATGTGGTTTTATCTTTCATTTTGTTTAAGTGGTGTATCCCATTTACTGATTTACCGATATTTTATCAACCTTGCATCTCCAGAACAAATCCCACTTGGTTATGGTTTATGGTCTTTTTAATATGTTGCTGGATCAAGGTTGCTAATATTGTGTTGAGGATTTTATCATCTCAGTTTATCAGGGATATTGGCCTATAATTTTCTTTCTTTGTAATGGCTTTGTCTGGTTTTGGAATTATAGGATAATGCTGGCCTCATAAAATGAGCTTGGGACTCTTCCATCCTCTTGAATTTTTTTAATAGTTTGAGAAGGATAGGTGTTAGTTCTTTGAATGTTTGGTAAAATTCATCTGTGAAGCCATCTGGTCCAGGAGTTTTGTTTATTGGGAGGTGTTTTATTTTTATTTTATTTATTTATTTTTT